TTTTTGGAATAGTTAAAAATAGGTAAAAAAGATGAATGCCAATGGCTAATGATGTTCAGACTTTAAAACTTGCTCAAGATTACATTAAGTAAACATAAATGCTGGAAACATTAAAAAAAAAAACATTAAATGATGTTGTTAATTGATTTCTGAGTTCCCTAGAGACCAAAGTCAAGAAGGAAATATATAACTCTTTTAGAAGAGTTACAGTGTCAAGAGATAAAAATATCTCTTTGGTTCTAAGAAATTTATTAGAAATTTCAGCTGTTAATATGGGAAAGGAAAGAAATGGAGATCCATATTACCTTAACATGGGCAGAAACAGAAGGAAAAATTGTACATGACATTTTTTAATCTTTAGAGTTTTGCAAAATTTACCAGAAAAAACTATATTCATATAAATGATTGAAATCCCCAAAATAAACCTAGACATTCAGGCAAGTATTTATTTATATTTTCATATGTTAACTATTTAGATGTTATATTATATTAAATAATAAAATGCCCCTGCCCCAGCTGTTGTGCTTTTAAGTGAAACAATAAAATGTATGTAAAATATTTATATTAAATATCAGTCATGCCTATCTGTTATAAAGGCATAGATCTTTCATACACATTTTATAGGTAATGAGTGATGCGATCTTCTTGAAATCAACTCAGACAACATGACAGACATAAAACTGATCTTGCTGGAAGTCATTTTTTACAGACTCCATGTGGCTAGTAAAAACTGTATATTAGAAATTTTTATGCGAAATATCTAGTCATTCCAATGGCTTTTAAGATGCGGGCCATAAATCCCTGGGATGGATTACAAAGTTATTACAATCAGAACTTAAATCCACATGGCAACACAGTTTCTTAAGAAATCTATGTGAAAAAGTAAACTTACTATTATGTCAAGTGTCTTTGCTAAACTTGTTATATTCAAAAGATGTTTCACACTGGAAAAACCTGTAAACCCATATTTTATTCAGACACCGTTAAGTGTGTTCATAAAGAGCTACTCAAGAAACCCAAGCTTCTTTTTCTTTACCCTTCTTATACACTCATAGTTTCGTGCCTTTGAGAAATGGAATCGTGAGAAAGTATGTATGTCTGATACACATAGCAAAACATATTCTTAAGGCATTGCTTTAAATTCTATGACTTTTATTTTCATACCACATTCCCTCATTTAAAGAGAGATGGGAGTGCAAGCTGGCTTATTTTAAGTCCAGAGGTGATTACTTTTGAGAAATGAAACAACTTTTATTTCACTTTTCCGTCCTAAATCAGTGATGCATGTTTTTCTTCCAGTCTCCTATAGTTATTTATTTATTTTTCTTAAGAAGGTAAAATAACTCCACTCAAAATTTCTAACTTTATCTGTTACGTTTCCTTACAATAAATGCCTGAACCATATAATTTGGAACAATTTGTTAGTGTTATTAAATCATCAGTTAGCCTTTAGACACACAAACTCTTCTACAGGTTATTGCTTAGAGCTCTATATTGAAATATGTAGTTTTCACAGACCTGAAAATATAATTAACATTTTAAAATAATATTTTTTTTAAATTTTAGAACAATCTTAGAAAATTGCAAACCTATTACGAGGAGTTCCCATATACTCTACACCCAATTTCTCCTATTATTAACAGCTTACTGTGATGTGGCACATTTATTACAATTAGTGAATTGATATTAATATGTTATTATTAACCAAAGTGCAAACTTCATCCATATTTTCTTCATTTTATCCAATTTTTACCAGCATCCTATGTAGGTTGCATTACATTTACTTTTCAGGTCTCCTTGGGTTCCATTTAGCTGTATGTAACAGTTTCTTAGACTTTCCTTGTTTTTCATGTCCTTGACAGTTTTGAGGATTATTGATCAGGTTTGTTGTAGAATGTTCCTCAATTGAGATTGTTCTGATTTTTTTTTCTGCTGATTAGATTGGAGTTATGTGTTTTAAAGAGGGAAATCATAGAGGTAAAGTACCATTTCCAACTCATCTTAAGTCAATATATCATTTTGATCACCTGGCTAAGGTATGTTTTTCAGGTTTCTCTACTATCAAGTTATTTTTCTGTCTTTTCATATTGTACTCTTCTGAAGGAAGTTTCTATGTACATTTCACAATGCTGTGAGAGGTTATGTTCCTTCTCCACTTCTGAACAGAGAAATGACAATTCTGCACAAGAGACTGTCTTTCTCCTCCATTTATTTCTTTATTCAATCATTCATTATATCAGTGTAGACTTGTGGATGTTTATGTTATACTTTGGGTCATACTCTGTTACTAACTTTATTTCGTTGCTCAAATTGTGTCAGCTTTGGTCATTGTGGAGCTATTTTGTTTGGCTACTGTGTCTCTTTAATACATTCCCAAATTGTGTTTGGTTTGTGTCATATTTTGTCTTGTTTTTAAGCATTTCCTTACTTTCCAGCGCTGCAAGTTTCTCCAGGCTCATCTCTTGTTTTTCCTACCCTAGCCCCAGAATCAGCCATTTATTAAAGCAACCCTGGTTCCTTTTACTGGAGAATAACATTAAAAACCAAAATCGGGGCACTCAGCATATTTGTTGCCACTAGGGTATCATTGTTTCCAGGACCTGTCAAGTGACAGAGTAGTGAGATATATGAATGTATACTAACCTAAGTGTGTACACATATTATGTAATCACATTTATCCATATTAAACTAAACATGAGTTCATATTAATGTCTCCAACTCCGACCCATTATTACATGGCATATATTTTTCCACTTGCTTATCTGCAAACTCCCACCCCAACAATCAAAAACCTGGTCATCTATCTGCCAAACCTCTATCTAATTGTTCAGTTCTCATATGCATTTATAGCACTGTCAGTGTTGCTAAGTCATACCTCCACAGGGGACCATGTTATGAACTAGAGCACAGTGCTTATGTACAATGTATTTTGCCTTTAACCTTTCAGACTGCACTCCTTTCTAAAGGTACTTAGCTTAAGTCAGCACATTTTTCCTCACCATCTTCAGTGAGATGGCTCTATAATTTGTAATATATGTAGATTGTATTTTTCACAGCCTGCTTTCCATCCTGGGATCCCTGAACTCTGAAGTGATATGTTTTAATTTTCATACATTAAGATTTACGCTTTGTGCTGTGAGGTTCTATAAGATTTTCACAAATGCATAGGGTAACATATCCACCACTAAAGCATCATACTAAATAGTCTCACTGCCCTCCACTAATCATTTTACTGCTGCTATAGCATTATCTTTTTTAGAATGCTATATAATTGGAATCATACAGAAAGTAGCCCTGTTCAGTTTGGTTTTTTAAATATAGCAATATGCATTTAATATTCATCCATGCCTTTTTAATGGTTTGATAGGTAATTTCCTTTAATTACTGAATAATATGATATTGTATGAATGTACCACAATTTAGTTATCCATTCACCTATTGAAGAGCATGTTTGTTGCTTCCAGTTTTTGGTGATTATGAATAAAACTGGTATAAACATATGTGTGCATGTTTTTGTGAGACATACATTTTAAAAATCAGTTGGGTAAATAGCTATAAGTGCAGTTGCTGGATTGTATGATAAGATTACGTTTAACTTACCAAATTGTCTTCTAAGATGGCTGTACTATTTTGTATTCCCACAAGCAATGGAAAAGAATACCTGTTGCTTGGCATCCTTGTCAGTATTTGGTATTATCAGTCTGTTGCATTTTATCCACTTTAATAGGTATGTAGTGGCATCTCATTGTTGTTTTAATTTGCAATTCCTTAATGACATATAATGTTGAGCATCTTTTCGTATGCTTGATATCCATCTGTACATCTTCTTTATTGAAACGTCTATTCAGATCATTTGCTTATTTTTATTGGGTACTTCACTTTCTAATTGTTGCGCTTTAAGAGTTCTTTGTATGTTTGGAATACAAGTCCTTTATTCAATATGCATTTTGCAAATATTTTTTCCAGTCTGTGGCTTGTCTTTTAATTCTCTTAAGAGTCTTTTATAAAGTATAAAAGATACTTTTATACTTTATAATAAATAAATAGTAATAATAGTAATAAATTGATAATAGTAATAAATTCCAACTTATCAACATTTTTTATTTCATGAATCATGATTTTAGTGTTGCATCTACCACCTCATTACAAAACCCAAGGTCACCCACATTTTCTGTTTCCCTGTAGAGGTTTACAGTTTTGCATTTACATTTAAGTTTATGGTTCATTTTTAGTTAACTTTTGTGAAAAGTATAAGATCTGTGTCTAGAGTCTTTTTTTTGCACATGGATGTCCAATTCTTCCAGAATCATTGATTGAAAAGGTTAGTCTTTCTCTTGAATTGATTCTGGTCCTTCGTCAAAGATGAGTTGACTCTATTTATGAGTCTATTTCTAAAATCTCTATTACATTTTATTGTCTTATATATTTACTCTTTTTCCAATACCACACTGTCTTGATTACTGTAACTTTATAGTAAATTTGGAACTGGGTAGTGTGAGTTCTCCAACTTTGTTTTTCTTCAGTATCGTGTGGACTAGTGTAGGTATTTTGCCTTTCTCCGTAAACTTTAGAAGAAGTGTATCACTATCTATAAAATATCTTCCTCAGATTTTGATTCAGATTGCATGAAATATACGGCTCAAGTTGGGAAGAATTAATGTGTTAACAAAGTTGAGTCTTCCCATCCATGAACAGTATGTCTCTGCTATTATTTAGATTTTCTTTGATTTTTTTAAATCAGAGTTTTACAGTTTTTTATATAAATCCTGTAAAATTATACCTAGATAATATTTGATGCTGTTAAAAAGTATTAATTTATTTCAAATTTTAATTGTGCATTGATTGTATATAGGTATAAGGAAAGGTATACAGGAAAGCAGTTGATTTTCTATATTAACCTTGTATCCTAAAACATTTCTTTTGCGCTATTATTTCTTTTTTCTTCTTCTGGTATTCTGGTTATACATATGTTACAAATTTAAAAATTATACCACAATTCTTGGATGTTCTGTGTTTTCTTTTTTCCATTCTTTGTTTTTCTTTGCATTTCAGTTCTGAAGTTTCTCTGTCATCAAGATCATTGACACCTTTCTTGGGCACTTCCAGACTACTGATGAGCCCACCAAAGGTATTCTTCATTATCGTTACGATGTTTTGGTTTCTAGCCATTTGTGGATACTTTCTTAGAGCTTCCTTCTCTCAGCTAACATTCCCCATTTGTTCCTGATGTTGTCTCCTTTTTCCTCTATAGCTATTAACATGTTAATCGTATATATTTTAAATACCTTGAGCTATTATCTGTGTCATATTTGATTTGGTTCTAGTGCTTTTTTAATATATCTTTTCACTGTTTTTGCCTGCTTTCCAGCACGCTTTGTAGTTTTTTTGTCGTCGTAGAAAGCTAAGCATGATACATCAGGCAACAGAAACTGAGGTAATGGGAGTTTCTGTGTTATTCCAGCTAGAAGTTGGGCTGTATTTAATATTTACTCTAGCTATAGAATTCTTGTAGTGCCCTAGTATTTGTCTATCCTGTTGCCTTTGGGCTCCCAAAGTACTCCTCCACAAAGAGTGTGCATCCTGCAGTTCTTTAAGCTACACATCGCTGTTTTACCTTAAGCCTTGTTGGTATCATGGTAAGGTACAGTAGAGGGGAAGTGTTCTGTAACTGTATGATTCAATCAAAGTCTTTTAGTGAGCCTGTATTTCTGGGCTGTGGCCTTCACAAGTGTTTCTTAGCTTCCCTCCCCACCATAGACAGGGCAGAAAGAGTAGAAAAGCCTGGAGTGGGGATGAAATGACTCTTATTCTGGTGGGTTAGTAAACCTCGGCAAGATATTTTCCCCTGGAGAATAAACCTTTTTTATAAGACCGTTTGGGGTATTTCACAGTGTTTGCTTGTCCTTTTCCCCTGCTAGTGCCACTATTGTATCTTTCTCAGATATTCTTATGAAATATAGATTAAGTTGCCTAGCAGTAAAACCCAGGGAAGTGTAGAGTCCTCACTAATAATGCAACCTCCCGGAAGTTCTCACTTTCAACCTAATCCCCACTGTCTCCAATAATATATTGAAGATACATCTTAAGAATTTCCACCCGGTTAGGGCTCCATCAACTTCCCCCCATGTATTCTGAAATCAACCATAATTCTCTATATTTTCCTCTCTCCATATTTTGGGAGTGGTGGTTTGTTCTGCAACTTCAGTTCTCTAATGGGTCCAAGAAAAATTATTTTCAGTTTTTATGCAGCTTTCTCATTTTAAAAGAATGGGAGTTATGACTTCCAAACTCTTTACATGTCAGAGCTTAAACTGGAAGTCTCTACATTTTATTTTTACATCTACAAGATTGGCCCAAGCTGTGTGCTGAGTTCCACACTAACACACTCAATTCCATAAGGAAGGTTTTCAGTCATCACTAAAGAACACCAACTGCCCCATCTCTGGGTGTAACTATTTATGTGGGAGCTTCATTCTCTCTTTGGGGTCACTTACATCTCTTAGTATAAATAGAATTGGAGGAGTCACTATTGTTATAGTTTCTCCAAAGTTACCTACCTAGAAACCTCTCCTTCCTGTTCCTGAGGATCTCTAGGACAATGGCTTATATTGCTACCAGTACTGTCTTTTCAAAAAGCTTTTCTTGTCAGGGCATGGTGGCTTGCACCTGTAATCCCAGCACTTTGGGAGGCCAAGGCAGGTAGATCATCTGAGGTTAGGAGTTCAAGACCAGCCTGGCCAACATGGCGAAACCCTATCTCTACTAAAAATCCAAAAAATTAACTGGGTGTGGTGGCATGCACCTGTAATCCCAGCAATTTGGGAGGCTGAGGCAGGAGAATCGCTTGAACCTGGGAGGCAGAGGTTGTAGTGAGCTGAGATCGTGGCATTGCACTCAACCTGAGGAACAAGAACTCCATTTCAAAAAAAAAAAAAAAAAAAAAGCTTTTCTCTCTGCATTGCCTCAATAGAGGGGAGAATGAGAGCCTTACTTCCTTGTATTGTGCCATTTCTTCAGTCACTATCATGCCACCTTGCAAGGTGAGGGTAGCTTATCTGACTTCATAGAAAGGTTAGTGGTTTTAAAAGTAATTGCAAGGTAGAGACAAAATTTTTTAAAAGAATTCTCTATACTAAATATATATTTCAAATAGTCTAAGCTAAAAGCACCAAAGAATTTAAGCCTTCACTACAAGTCATGATTATTCAGAAAAGAACTCTTTACCTTCTCATTCATTGTATGATCAACAATTACTTATTGGATTCTATTTCAGTTGCTCTTCCACATCTTAGAATACAACTATGAACCTCTCCCTCCATTTGAGAAACTTAACATCCTACTCGCAGAAATTAAAAAGACCTCCAGGACATATCTCCATTACATAGCAATAAATTTATCATATACAGTAATCTGTTCTTGCAGAATTCAACCCGACAAGAAGTTCTTAGTGTTCATTGGCACCCCAAGTCGTTAGGAACAATTCACGTGTGAGGACTGTGTTTGAGCACGTGAAAACATCTACTCAGAGGTCCACAGCAGCAGCAAATGTGAGTGACAGGCATGAATGTTAGAGTTTTCTCAATATATACTGAGTCACTATTGGAACACACACAGGCTCACACATTTTCACTTCTCTTAATTGCAAGTTGTTCCTTTCATAATGGGAATTGAACTTTATTATTATTTAGGTGACGGGCTAATAGTTGATACTTATGTTTCTTAATGACACATTAGCTAAACAAATACACAAAATCTCTAAAATGTTCCGTTTAAAAGCCCTTAACATTCTTAGACAAGACCATTCTCAAGTCTCAAATTTGAGAATGAGGAAGGTGGGCACTTTCTCAGTTCTATGCATGTGGTGAAGAGAGGGAGCATTTAGCTCAGTTGTAACTGCACAACTAGATACGATATGGAATGGGCAAATTTGAGGAAGGAAGTAGTTGAGGAGACAGAGAGATAAATAGAGGTAGGCAACTGCATTTTCCTGTGGCAAACAAATCTCTGAGTTTAACATTAAATTACATTAGCCTTGGGGTAAAATAAAGTGAGTATAATAAGCTTCACTTGGAGAAATCAGTCCAGCAGGGCTGCCAGGTTGCACAATTCTAGGCGTACCATTCACACGGTGTTTAATGTGAAAAGCATTCCTTGGAGTACAGTGTCATTTACATGGATTGCAATGTAGATGATGCCCCCGCTGGAGTTGTGCAAAACAGCTTGTAGTGACAGAAGCCTTTAGAATAGTAACAATTTTAACTTTCATGTAAATTACTTGTAATTGTTACTTTCTTTGGAAAGTCTTCCAAAATCAGCCATTCCCTGCATCTCATGCTAAGTTAAATGTCTTTTCTCAACGTTTTCATAGTGCTCAGTGTACTGCTATCATAGCTGTTATCACACCATCTTATAAAAATTGGGTTTCTTCTCTGTTTCCCTTCCTAATTGTAAGCTCTGGGTCTTTTCTCTCTTTGTACCAAAGGTTCCAAGCACGGTGTCTGGCACAAAGAAAATGTTCACTAGATGTTTCCTGAATTAAAAGTAAATTATTATCCATAAGATATAATTGCTTTGAATTTTTTCCTAATATTAATTTGTTGTCAATGTAGTTCACAGAGAATGCACTATGCTACTATTTATTAAATTAAATATCTGCTTCAAGTAGCATATTAAAAATTAAGCTTAGTTAAATCTCAATTTCCTGTGATCATTATATAAGTTGCTCATTGCTGCATCTCGTATTAGCTTGGTTCAATGACTAGACAGCAATTAATATGAGTGCTTAATGACCACTTTCCTATTTTGATATATTACTAATGATACTTACATTGTAAAGTGCTTTGGGGTTAATTATAAATGCTTATAATTTGCCTACCCTTCTGACTGACAGCACATTCTTACACCTAAAAATATGATGAGTATTCCAGACCTGTGTAGGAAGAAGGCTGGTCTACAGAGGCTCAGCAATCAACATTTCAATTTTTCAGTTCTCTCAACTCACCTAAACTATTTTTAGAATCTGTATTTTAGCATCAGTAATGCAAAAAAGAAAATATTTTTGAAATGTGATCCAAACTTTAAGTGTTTCGTGATAACAGAAAAGAACATATTGTTATTGGGCAATTGTAACACTCCCTTACCAACAGGAATTTAAGGGGTAACGCAATGGTCTCTCCTTGTTTCTGTCTCTCTCTCTCTCCCTTCTGATTTACACCTATACTCATGCTGCTTCTTTTGAGGCTACTTGTTTGTTTGTTTGTTTGTTTGTTTATTGAGACAGAGTCCTGTTCTGTCACCCAGGCTGGAGTCAGTGGTGCCATCTCAGCTCACTACAACCTCCGCCTCCCAGGTTCAAGCAATTCTCCTGCCCCAGCCTCCTGAGTACTAACTGAGACTACAGGAGACACACGCCACCACGCCTGGCTAATTTTTTGTATTTTTAGTAGACACAGGGTTTCACCATGTTGACCAGTCTGGTCTCAAACCCTTGAGCTCAAGTGATCCACCTACCTCGACCTCCCAAAGTGCTGGGATTACAGACATGAACCATGGTGCCCAGCCCCTTTTGAGGTTATTCAAACATTGACTTCTCCAGGAGATGATGCTGTGATTCTAACGTAGCTGACATCTCAGAAAATGCATATTATTTAAAGTAAATCATTAAACAAAATTTATCTCTTGGACATGAAATGAATGTCCAGATATAGAAATGTAACCATCACAGACATTTTTATTGTTTTCATAGATTCTACATTAATATAATAAAAAACTGAAGTGAAGCTGTGTAGTTAGATTGCTGTCTCTCATTTCACACACTTAACTGTCTTTATAAACATTCCTATAAATTCAAACTAAATTATAAACTTTCCAGTCCATAGCAATGTATCTTGTTTCTGGTCTGCTTTCTTAAAATAGTCTGTACACTGTCCATGGATAGTATTTAATGATTATTACTAACATATTATTTATATTAAAAGTATGTATTTTAACTTTCTGAATTATTTAGCCTAGCTAATAATCCTAAAATAAGATAATGACAGTTATATGCAATAGAAAACTAGAATGCAGTTGGCATTTTGTTATAATACTTCAGCAGGTGTAGCCAAAAGTTTACAGCTTTTGTCATGATGATTTGTTGACAGCTGTCCAACAAAACAGTTCAAAAAGATGATTTGCACAGGCCGGCTTCAAGGAAGACATGATGAGGGGGAGCAGGCAGTCACCTTAGAGTTGTGCAAGTAAGCGTACAAATCTAAAAATTAGAGATCAGAAAGATCCCAGTGGTCCATGGACTTTAAAATTATCTAGAATAGATCGCTGCACTGAACCCAAATCACATCAAAAATGAAAGTTATCCTCTTCTTATGACAACTATTCCTGCTTCAGTACCTAAAATATAGTAGGGGCTTCATAAATATTTATGGATTAATATTGACTCAATAAGGAATGACAAAGCTACTACCACCACAGCATCAAAAAGAATCTGAATGGGAAATAAGAAGTTGGCTACCTTTGCAAACACATCTCAGAATAGATACTGATGGTGTCATAATTTTGTGGGCCACACGATTATGTTCTTCATTCATAAATGAATTTAGCATTTTATTATAAGTACTAAAGTGATATTTAATTATAGAGTTAAAATTGAAAAAAAATGGTAAATGATTTAGAAGTAGAACATTTGTTTATACTTGATTAAACTGTTTTGGTCATTATGTATCATTTCACTCCTTGCCTTTGAATAAAGATCCTTATTTTCATTTACTCTTAGCACACTTCAAGAAATGCAATTAAAAGCTGATGAGTAACCAAGATAGTGTTACTGGGAATGAGGAAATATTTACTTTCTGTAGAGTGCAAATTAAGTATGCAGATTTTGTATTGAATAGATCACAATTTTACATAACTCTGAAGCAATGTGTTTGAAAGGCCAAGCACTAATAATTCAACATCATTCAAACAATTGTTTCCAAGTTCCCTTTATCATTTCTCTGTACCTCAATTGAATGAGTCACTCATATTAGATTGCTGGTCTTATTAAGAAATCCATTCTGTTGAGTATCTTAGACATTTTTAATAAAAGATCTTTTTTATCACTTTCCTATTTACATTGTTCAGATGCATTTAACTTGAGTATTTTGTCATTTAGAATAATAACTCATCAATCTGTTAGCGCACCGTTCTTTATGTTACTTTTCTTAGTGCTTTGAAATGTGCAGTTTTGAATCTCTGAAATGTTACAAACGACCAGATTGCTAATTGCTTTGGATGCTGTGAAAAATAATTACTGCACATTATTTTTGATATTTAATTGACAGTGTAATGCATTTAACTAAAGACCTGCAATAAACTATTTCTAATTACTGAGGGTGGTGGAGTGGAAAAGTAGGCTGTAAAACTTTACAAGGGAAACAATGTTTCTCCATTATGTTAGAAGTCATTGTTGATATGACTTTTTCAGAGACAAAACATTCCCCCAAATAAGAAGTTCTAGGAATCTAGAAAGAGTTGTGGAATATTTCTACTCATGACGTAGTAAGGATTTTTTTAAATTATTGCTTTGGATAGATTGTACTGGTGATAGATGTCATATGCTAAATTTATTGTACTTGCAACAATTTTTTTCAGATGGCAGAACTTTATGAGAGAGAAAATCATGGCACTGCCAGAATGAGTAATACTTATCACTGGCCTGTATTTGATTTATTTGGCTTCTGTAGGACATTTAGCTGAAAAGGTATGCCAAATTTTAGATGTCATTGAAATATGTAGATATTATCAGGAACCAGGTCTGTTCTTATTTCTCGAAGTAAGAACTTACTGTTATAAGCTGATCTCTGATAATAACACTTAGAACCTGGCACGAGGAATTCTCATTGTCTACTAGTGCCACAAAGAGAGATATAAAAGATGTTAGGTCCTTTGAAAAGATGTATACTCATTCTATTCTCCTGTGACTCTAGGATATTATTAACAATCAGCATATTCTTCTTTTCCTCCTTATAACCCCTGGTTTTAAAAAAAGTCTCCATTAGTGTTTTGTTATATTGTTGATTTAATTTTGATTATATATATTTTCCAAAACACAGCTAAAATAAGTGACCTGTTTCAGGGAATGTAAATTATTTTCAGAATTTCAGAAATTGAAAAGGGATAAGAGGAAGGAGAAAATGCTGGGCTGGTGTGAAGCGATAGCCCGTAACCCTCACAGAATTCCAAACAACACGCGAACACCCGAGATCTCAGGGGATTTGGCTGACACCTCACAAACCTCCACATTGGTGAGTGGAAAGTTATTTTACCTCAAATTGGCTTGTATGTAAATAGAATGCTAAAGAAATGTGGGGAGGATGACCTTATAACTAAATGTTATCCTTGTTTACAACAGTATTTGCATTTGTATTATATAATATGTTCATATAGATTTGGTTAGTAAACTAACACAAACACCTTTGTGACATATAATATTAGAGTTTAATTCCAATCAAACAGTTGTTTTTCTTTTTATTAGTTTGGACATCATCCATTTGTTATGTTAGTGACCTTAAAATATTTAAATTAAAGTTTATGTTCTTGGATTCTATACTGCATGATGAAATCAGTTGAAGAAAAGTAAGTACGCAGTCATCTAAAGATGATTTAAAGAAAATCAGAATCCTACTTTTTGTATTTTTCTATATTTTTTCTAAAAATGTCTCCATAATAAAATCAAAAATTATAATTTTTACAACAAATTGTGATTTAACACAATTGCAAAAATAATCTGAAGACCAATTCAAGAATGTGGTCCTTCATGTTTTATTTGCTGCGATAAGTTTAAATGCTGGGCTTTAACTAGCCATCATTTTCCAGGGATTAGGACAAAGCATTCATTAGGAAGAGTTTTAAATGTCTTTGTTTAGATTTGGCTGTAACATTCTTCATTTTAATTTAAAGGAGGAAAATTCCATTCGGTCTCCGGGTTTTAAACTAATATTAGATATATTTTAATTATTGTTTTACCTTTTTATAAGAATGAAAGTGTTTTGATTAGCCTGATTTATTAGCAGTTGAACATACAATTAAATATGAACAAAGAACCATTTAGATTTTTTTTTTACTGTTTATTTTGTTTTATTTTACAATTTATATTATTTGACTATCTTAGTATGTTTGGGCTGCTATTACAAAATACCGTAAACTGGTAACTTATGAACAACAGAAATTTATTTCTCATGGTTCTAAAGTCTGGAGTCCAAGATTAAGGTGCTGGCTGTTTTGGTGTCTGGTGAGGGCCTGCTTTTCTGATTCATAGATGGTGCCTTCTCACTGTGTCCCTACATGGTGGAAGGGGCAAATGAGCTCCCTCAGGGTTCTATAATGACACTAATACCGTTTATGAGGGCCCCACTCTCATGAATTAATCACCTCCCAAAGGCTCTACCGCCTAATATCATCACCTTGGGGGTTAGGATTTTGACATGAATTTTGGGAGGATACAAATATTCAGACCTTAGCAGTTACATAGAAATGACGACCTTCAATTAACCTTAGTGAGTTGATATTAAGAGAAACCATCTGAAAGAATAGACTTTCACTTGATAAAACATAGAAAGAGAAGTGAGGATCTTGCTTAAATCCCATCCTTAGATTGTAAGGGGAGGGCTGAGGATATGGAGAGATGTGTGCAGAACTACTGGGTATTCAAAGTTTTAGGGAATGGTTTCCTTTTGAAATTGTCATCTGCATTGTCTCGTCTCACTCTGAAATGACTTATGTATTATATTTGGATAGCATAAAACTGTGGGGCATGAGTTAACACTACTAAAACATTGTATTACGTAATAGGTATGCGTACAGCTGTACTTTATCAGGTACCATACTATAACCAAGCATTTTTAAGTAAGAAAAAATTACTGCTCCTGTGCTTTAGTGTGTACCTCCTATTTCATGGAATCATAGAACAAAAACCGTAAAAACTGTGAGCAAATTTTTGGACTGGCTTTCTGCCTATAATTGGGTAACCTAATAATAAACCTAATAACAGCTTCATTTTACAGATATGCACTGGGGCCCACGAAAATTAATTGACTTTCCCAGTGCCACTTATCTAGTAAATAATAAAAGGGTTACTAGGAATGGGACTTCTCAAAACAATGCTTTTTCTGCTACACCTCATAATCTCAGTTTCTTGATGACATTTTCTTCACATTCAATTAATTTTAATATAAAGAAAAATATATCAAGTTACTAATGGAATGAAATCCAGTAATTAAATCTAATGCTGTATTACAGGGGTAACCTCTATATACTTTAACATATAACCCCCAAATCTCAGTTTCTTAACATATAAAATAAGAGGTTTCTTCCTTGTATTATGGGCTGATGTGTGTTGGCCAGCTCTCCTTGGAGGTTCACTGCCAAGTCATGATTTAAAGATCCAGACTTCTACCATCTTTTGATGCTGCTTTTGTAAGCACATGGTCACAGAGGAAATGGAAGAGATTGTGTGGAACATCGAGCATGGGCCATTATGGAGCAGCCTTGAATGCATGGACATCCTTCCATTTCAGACCCAACAGAACTGCAAGGGAGGCTGGCTGCCTTTCTATGTGGCCAGAAAAAGGAGATGGAATTAATGGGCATATAACCCATCTCTGCCACAGTCCATCTTACTGGTCACCAGATATTCATGTCATGTTCCATTATCTCCTGAAAAGAGATGATTACTCTTCACGAGTGACAATTCAAATTCTTTCAGTCACTAATTTCAGCACAAATTCATGATCTCTGGTTAGCCATTGTCCTCATCAAATGATGAAAATGAATCACCCATGAACAATTTACCTGCATTTTGCAGTTCACTTCCCATGCACCTAATATAAAAGAGAAGCATAGGAAAAGGGAAACCACAATAAATTGTGATACTTAGATAAAGAATCAGGTACACGTGTCAATCACAGGCACAATCCTGCTGGAAAGACATTATAAAGTCTCCCAATCTAGAGGTCAGCAATAGGGTCTGAACACCTCCCTGGGATATCCTCCTTGTCCATAGTTCCCTGTAGCCTCTGGCTATGACTTCTCAGATGTTTCTCTTTTTCCATTGTCCTGTTTAACCGTGTTTGAAGTGCCTATTGAGAGCTATATTACCTTATTTTTTTTCCTGTTTGGGGAAGATAATGGGACCTAGAGTTATTTTAAGTTTTAAACATTTAAGTGTTATATTCCGGAATCATGGGATTTTAGTACTACAATACCCTGAGATCTCAGTAGGGTTTGCCTTGAGTCTGCTACACAAATGGAACTTTTCAGTGGGCCTTTGTTGTTCAATGCTTTCATCAATGTCCTGTTCCACCATTTGGGCTTTAGAAGAAACCAGCCATTTTGCTCAATAAGTCCTGGAAACTTCTGTATTCTGTTTCTCTATGTATCTGCCTTCACACTAGCCACTCATGTTTCTCTTGTAATACCCTGCCAAATGTAGCCAGTGATAGTCAACATACACTATTAAAGTTTTGTTTTCCAATCTCTTTTGAGTATTGCCAGCCCAGCAGACTCACTGTCTGCCTCTCTAGTTAATTCAAGCAGCAGTTTTACCAAGAGTTTTGACAAAACATTATGCAACTAGAAGGCTTTCTACTTTTGAATCACTTTCCTGTCTACCCGTTACCCAACCATTAAAGAAATACTATATATTTTAGATTTGTGCTATGGTGGCACAGGCTTTGTCTTCAAATTTCTGTATTTCAATGGTATAAAAATTGGAGTACAGTCAGCAAAACAGAAAGAAAACAGGCAATTTTAACAAAGAGAATATAATATGCAAAAGTATTTAATCTGGTATTGGAAAGCTAACATGTCAAAAAGATTCACAAGTTTAATATCTGTAGAAGTAACAACCCCTCATGCAGAAGAGTAACAAAGGGAGGAGGCTGGAATTGTTAGAACCTGAAAGGCTAGAGGACAAGCCCCTCAAAACTGTGTCTTGGTCCTCTGAGGAGGAGTGCATCTCCCCAGATACAGGTACCTCAGGGGTTCAGAGGTGGGATCCTGTGGATCTAGGACCCACACCCCTGAAGAGGATGCACTTCTCTATTTTTATACATTTGGGGTGGTGGTGGTGCAATAAGGATAGTTCAACAAGTGTAAAATAAACTTAGAAACTGTACCCAATATCCATTACTGATCTAAAGAAGCCTTCCTGGAGTGACACTGACAGAAACAGAATAAAGAATGAGTCGTTTGTCCTTCTGACTTCTAGTTGTCTTCAGGACTACCATTGGCAGAACCCAACCAAAAGCATAGTGGCAAAGAAGAAATCTGGTTTGAAGTCTCCCAGCTTTAGGATCTTGAGGTAGAATATAGAAAAATGGGTTTAGGGTCAAGAGGCAACAGTATAGAAAGTTAAGGATAGGAGCTTTAATAAATAAACTCAGACATTTCAGACTTAACATGACAAAGGTTTGCTTTTGCTCACCAGTCAGTCTGATACAGATACTATGACACTCCAACAAAAAAAATACAGAGTTCTCCTGCTGCTATTATATTATAAATATGGCTTTCGAATTTATCAGAGAAGAGAAACAGTGGGAGTGGGTAATCATGGAGATATATGGTTTAGGTTTGGAAGTGATATGCATCACTTCTACCCTGATACCTTTGGCGGGAAACCAGTGACATAGACTAATGGATCTTTAGGAATGATGAAAAATACAGTCTTCCTATATAACCTGAATAGGGAAATTGAAAGCATTTAGCCAGCCTATATCACAAATGCATTCTTTCTTTGGTAAGTAGCCTGCTTATCCTACATTTCCATTTTATATACCCATGCTTTTATTATTACTATTTTGCTGTCATCCAGAGCAGTTGAGCTTTCCAGTACAAATTATACCCCATCTAAAGATGACTATAATAATGATGGTGGCTGATTATTATGTTCCAAGAACTTTTCTAAGTGTTTTACAAATAATCTTATTTTTAATACTTAACTATAATTCGGTATGGCAAGTGTGATAATTACCCCCATTTTATAAATAAAGAAACTGAGGTATAGAGAAATTTTAAAACCGTCCAAGATAACTTAGGTAATAACTTGTGAAAATGGGAATCCAACAGTCCAATCAGTCTCAATCTAGAGGGCCACTCTATCACGCCTTTCTCAGGTTAAGGGGAAGAAGACAGTCATTATTTGGATTGTACATATTTGGCTAAACACAAAGATTATAAATGAGATAACAATTCATTGCACTGTGGCATAAAGACAAATAGGATATTTCCTTTATAATCTAAGATTATGCATATCTACTAGATTATTTTCTGCTCTGCATTTACTGACTTATAGCTAGTCTCATAGTCGTTTCCCACATACAATTCTCTATAACTGACCTGATTGAAAAGAGTAGTTTTTTTTCTTTTTTTAATCTGTAGAGCAATTCATACTACCCGCATTTTAAATTCAGAAAATATTTATTGAGCTTAAAATCTTTCATAATGAATAATAACCTTGAGGGGTTTAGAAGATTATGCTTATTAAGCACATATCCTCACAACTGTAACCTAAGGGTGGGATGTGGCCTCATCTTGTATGATAGCCAGGGGAGAAACCTCTCTCTTTTAAATTTAGCGTAACATGATTTTACTCTTTAAAAACAAAAACATCTTATACCGACTATACCCTTAAGGAATTTACTGAATCAAATCAGAGTTTCAATATT